ACTAGCTTAATTCCATGATCTCTCATTTTTCCCTTATAAATATTGAGTTTGGTTTTTTTTAACTATAGACTTTATGGTAAATGTCAATCTGAGAAACACAATAAGGCAATCATCACAAACCATTGGTTTTATGTTCTATATTTTAAATAGAGTAAGTTACACTCCTGCTATTTTACAAATTGCTGCTCAAATGTTAGAAGTATAATAAGTAGCTGAAAGAAGCAGTGAGCAACTGAGAGGAAGAAGAGAGGGCACTTCTCCAAGGAGACTCCAATATAACTCCACAATGGGTCCTCCGACCAAGAATGCTAGTCACCAAATGTTTGCAGTGGGAAATGCAGCCATCACATGACTTATCCCTTATTGCCTATAGCTGGGTGTCCATAAGAACTGATGCCCTTGAATCACAGGGTTGATGAATACTGAACATATGATGGATTTCCAGCTGAACAAACATCTATGTTGGAATAACTTCTGACAGAATACTTCTTAGAAGCAAAGATGGTAAAGCTCCCTTTACAGACTTTTGGAATATTATATGGAGGAAATCTTTCCTGGAAATTGACATCCTGTTTGGTGAATTAGGGGGTCAAAATTAAAGAAATGGATTGACCCAGTGGTTGCAAAAATGGGCTCAAACATTAGTAGGCTTGTGAGGATGGCACAGAACTGGCCAGTGTTTCTACCTGTTGCACAGGGTCACTGAGAGTCAAAACTGACTTGATGTCACTTAAAAAGAAAACAAACTGTGCAGATAGCTATAAAATTAAGCAAGAAGACTGTGAGCTTTTCATTGACCAAGGATAAGTAAATTCTTATAAAGCCACCTGTACTTTCATTTGCTGGTGAGCATAAGACAAATTGAGAAGAAACAGCTGCAAACATGTATTAATGACTGGACCTTAGAATGTATGAAGTATAAATCTAGGAAAATTTGAAGTTATCAAAATCGAAATGGAACACACAAAAATCCATATCCTTGGTGTTATTGAGCTGAAATGGATGGGACATAGCTATTATGGATTAGACAACCATACAGCTTACACTACTCATTGTCAAAGAGAACATTTCAGGATCTACCTTGGAGCAAAAAGCTCTCTGTGATAGGAAACTCTCTATGCACATAAAGAAAATCTAGTCAATAAAATAATTATTCAAATGTATGCACCGGCAATTAAATCTCGTGATGAAAAAATTGAATAATTTTACCAATTCTTCAATCTGAAATTTATCTAATATTCCATCAAGATGCATTAATAATTACTGGCGATTGGAATGTAAAAATTAGAACCCAAGAAGAAAGAATAGTAATTGAAAAATATGTCTTTGGTGATAGAAATGAAGCTGGATATTGTTTGATAGAATTTTGCAAGACCAAGGTCTTCACTGAAAATACCTTTTTCCAACAACACAGACAGTGACTACACAGAAAAGCTGGGCTTCTTCAGAGGGAGTACAGTGACATCAAACTGGTTTCAACTGTAGGAAGAGCTGATGGAGAGGCGAAGTATCAGCAGCTACAACGGAGCAAGAGCTGACTGTGGGACAGAACATCACTTGTCCCTTTTAAGTTTTGTTTGAAACTGAAGAAATTTAATCCATTTGAATTTCCAAACCAACTCAAGAGCAGATACGATGCACTGAAAACTACTGACAGAAAACCTGATGAGCTTTGGGATGGCCCACATCATACATGAAGAAAACAAAGCTCAGAAAAGAAAGTCAAGATCAAAGTGGATTCCAGAAGAGACTCTGAAACTTGCTCTTAATCATAAACCAGCTAAGGCAAATGAAAGACATTATGAAGTCAAAGAGTTACACAGAAAATTTCAAAGGGCAACTCCAGAAGACAAAGTAAAATATTGAAATGAAAAATGAAAAGACCTAGACATTAGAATTAGAAAAACCAGTAGGAGAACATACTTAGAATAGTGTAAACTGAAAGAACTCAAGAAAATGTCAAGCCTTGAGCTGTAATCTCAAAAGATCCTATGGGTAAAATATTGAATGATAAAGGAAATATCAAAAGAAGAAGGAAAGAATACATGAAGCCACTATACCAAAAATTAGTGAACAGTCAGTCATTTTAAGAGATAGCATAGGATCAAAAACAAGTTGTCCTCAAGAATAAATCCAAGCATTAGCCACAATCAAGTCTCCAGTAATTGGTGGACTACCAATAGAAATGTTTTAACAAGCTGATGAAGCCATGGAAGCACACCCTCATCTAAAGCAGAAATTTGGAAGAGAGCTACCTGGCCAACCTATTGAAAGAGTTCCATATTTGTACCAATTCCAAAGAAAAGTGACCCAATAGGATGCACAAATTATTGAACAATATCATTAATATCACGTAAAAGTAAAATGATACTATCGTTCAAACATGGTTGCAGCAATACATTGACAGAGAACTGCCAGAAGTTCAGACAGGATTCAGAAGAGAATGTGTGATAAGAGATATCATTGCTGATATGTTATAGATCTTGGCTGAAAGCAGAATATTCCAGGATGATATTTACTTGTATTTTATTTCATATGCCAAGGCATTTGACTCTGTGTATCATAACAAGCTATGCA